TTTGACTGTACTGTGATACTGCGCTAGGATTATGAATTGTTTGTTCTTAAGATTTTAAACAGCCGGAAAAGGGAGTTGGAAATGCAGAAACGAAAGAATTATGTTTACCTTGAAGCCATCGCATCATTTCGTCGAGGAAGTAATCGCCTTGCTGATTACAGTGAACGTACGCATCCGAAGTACTTGGGCAGGCCTGAAAGTATCGGTTGCTTGTTGCTCTAATGAGTGCGAAAATCCGGATGTGTTTGTGGATGAGTGATATCCCAACCCATGAATGCGAGAATCAGACTTGTGTGGGAGAATCAGACGATTCTTCGACAGTAATGTGTGCTGAAATGAATCTAGAAGTAAGAGGAATTGCGCCTACGTCACATGGTTTTTGCGAGAAGAAACTCGACTGATGCATACTGCCCGTACCGCTTACACCACCATAGTTTATGTTCGAGTCAGATCCTCGTCCAAACAATGACTGTCGCAACATCAGTCTGTAGAAAACACCTGCGTGCATTCCTGGAGTTGGATTTTGGTCGATCTGAAGATTTTACTTACTTTTCTTAATACTTTTCGTGCATCATCAAACATAATCACGTACTTTAGTTAAAAGTTTCGTTTGAAATATTACTCTCAGCTATCGCTGCTAAAGTGAAATGAATTTCAACGACAGAGAAATGAATGTTCTAAGGTAAATAGCAAAGAGTTTACGTAATTCGAATGTTTCTGTTGCCTTAACATCTCAGTGCTTAACCTCAACGCGCCTATCTCATCTACATCTTGATTCTCTGTAACAGAATGCGAACCTGTTGTTTACAAAGGTATGGCGCAATCATTGCGGGATCTTGTTGTTGTGGCCAGTCTGTATTTTCAACGCCAACGTTGATTGTGGGTCCTTGGTCGAGCACAGTTGCGAAAGCGATATAACCGTTCACAGATAACTGAACAGTCACAAATTTCACCACCAATTTGTTATTCAACGGATACAAATGAGTCAATTTCCCTCTTTTTAATCAATACATTATCCACTCGCATAGAACTCGAATATTTCGTAAATCACAATTTTTTCACTGAATCTTGATTATGCCCAAGCAACTTACCACTGAATAGTTATATAATCCACCATAAAATGGGAAAAACATGTGCATGTCGATCGTTTGACCTCCGGTCAGCATGCCCGGAAGTACTTCTTGGTCGCCCGCTTCCGGACCGAATGGAACAAGGTTAACTGAAGAGGAACATTCATTATTCGAACGCCAGCCATGACTGACACTAAGTATGATTGAAAAGAGCCTCAGTTGTAACATATCCCATGATATTGCCCATCATTCCATCTCTATTGTGGTTCAAAATGGCAGATGTCATCTGATTTCCAAANTCTTATGAAGTGAAATGAATTGAAATTAAATGCTGATTATTCGATCATCTTAAAGTTTCATTCGAGTGTTCGTATTCTGCAGACTAATTTCTCCTTGCTAATCACTTTTGCGGTATTGATCAAACTCAATTACAACGTGGACGCATAATTGCTATTCAGTAGATTCATAAACAGTGTTTCGTAAATAAACTGCAAACTGCTTGCCTCCATACAGTGGATTCCTGCTGGTTCCAGTGAAAATTTGACCGGCTTCTTGACCGGGATTAATGCCTCCTCCTCGGTTTCCTCCACCTCCTTGAGCTTGTGCGTTTTGAGCATAACAAGTTTGTAGAATCAATATGATGGCTACACCCGAAAAGGTGAGTAAGCGCGAAACGCCGAAGCGTTTAACGTGCCCGCATTCCATTTTCGCACTACCTTTCACTGTTTTTCCACTCTTCGAAGACTGCTTCAGATCTGAAAATGTTATCAAAAAAATTGCATCAGAAAACAATTAAAAATCGAAAACTTCTCAGCGGTCAGAACGAACTCTCCATTATTGATGTTTACGACGAGTGAAAGTTATTATGCATTCGCTATTGTAGCAGTAGTGATTCATCAGTGAGATATTCAACGATTACAATCATTACAACATTCAAGGATTTCAACAAGCAGT